GTCAAGTGCCCCAGGGTACGGTTCAGTTTTTGGTGAATAACTTCGCCAAAAACGGCCGCAGAGCCGCGATTTTGGCAGCATCGTGTTCGCCTCGCTCAGGCGCGTCGAATGATATACTTTTTGTTCGGGTCAGGTCAACTTAGGGTGTTGACCTCAGGTCAAGGTCAGGTCAGCACCCCCAGGTCACGAAGTTGGTCGAAAGAGGTCATGTCGCATATCATTCGATCCGGCAGGTCTTTCTGAGTCCATTGGTGGCTTTCTCGACTCGCTAGCTCAATTTGATCGGGAGTTATTGACGAAAAACTAATATGACCTTGATGACGTCATAAATGACGTCACGGAAGGTCAACATTGCAAAAGTGACGCATCTAACCTTGCAAGGAGTGCATCAAATCACGATTCTGTGTGCTTGAGATAGTTGGAGATCGTTCCCGGCGCCAGAATAGCAGTTTGAATTTTTCCCCATTGACTTATAATGGTGAGGTCACGAAAATGACCTGACCTCATATGACCTTTAGGAAAAATCCGAGATATACAAGTTGTGAGACTCATAATGGATACTAGATCCTGCAAGTTTCATTTCCCTGTGACATCTCCTCTGGCAGTGAGGGCGTTGCGAGGTTGCGACATCTGAAGACCGTGCAGAGGTTCACTTATGACGTCATAGGTCAGTGACCTGACCTGACCCAAAAATGCGGTTGGTGTCAAAAGATGCGGCTTGGATCAAAGGTCAGGTATGCCAAGTTTCAGCTCTCTATCGCCAGCGTGTTCGGAGCTATCGCGAAAAAACCCTATGGGGGGGGCGGCACCCGCCCCCCCCCTCGGCCGGCGAGGGTTAAAAGGTAGGAGGTTTAAACTTGCACACCATGTGTAAAATTGATGAGGTTATAGTCATACCAAATTTCGCGGCGCTACACGCCGCGGTTTTCCCGCTATTCGCGAGAAACCTCAGGGGGGGGGGGCGGATATCCGCCCCCCCGTCGGTGCGCGGGTTAAGACATAAAAGGTGTTGAATTACCAGGGCTACAAAATGGCAATCTCGAAATTTTAAATTTTTTGAATTTGACCCCAAAATCAAAACAATTTTTTTTTTAAATATAATTGCCTAAAAATCCAAGAAGTTTTTAAATTTTCGAGAAAAAAAACAGAATATTCCTTTAGATAGCCCTTATCGACTTCTATTCACCTACCAAATTTCAGATCGCTAGGTACCTCTTTTTTGGCCAAGTTATAGCGAAACAAAAAAACTGTTCAAAATTGATGACGTCAAATTTTCAAACTCCATTTCTAGCAATTCTAGACAACGCAGCGCAAAACAAAGACCACCAGTGTCCACTAGACTCGCAGTAACGAGCTGCATTGAAACGATACCCATTTTATGCAAAAATATCAACTTTGAAATTTAGACTGGCAGTAACGAGCTGCATTGAAACGTTACCCATTTTATGCAAAAATATCAACTTTGAAATTTGATCATTTTTTACCTGACCTCCACCAGGAAGTGACCTGAATCGTTCCTTAGGGGAAGTTGGGGGAACGCCGAATACTTTTTTCTGACGCCCGTAGCACGCAAGGTAGACAACATAAGCTATTCTTGTTGGCGTCATTCGAGAGGCCAGTCTTTTGCCTTTCAAACATACCAGGCGCATTTGATGAATTCGCATACCGATAAGCGCACAAACTAAAAATATCAAAGAAGTGACTTTTTCGGCGTTGCCCCGGACTGCGGGGAAAGCCGGAAATGGGAGAAATGATCTACGGGAATGCCGAAATTGATGTTTTGCTATTTTATCTCAAATTTTATCCAGAATTCGTCAAAGCTGACACGCGTTTTAAGAGCTTGAGGACGCTTGGTGCACACTGGAAGTTATAATTGTGTGATATAATAAGAAAAGGCCAGGTAAATCATTCCTTATGGTAACAGGCCGTTGTGTCGGTGAAAAGTGTAATTTGTGTGACTAAAAATACGCGTTGCTATTCTACAGCGGTAAAGTTCACGTAGCGTGCTTTAACGCGCGTAATTGCACGTTTTCGGCATTACCCCAGCCAGCCATACTTTCATTTGCAGGCCCATAACTTTTCAACGTGCTGTATAAATTTCAAATAGGCAGCACACTTATGCAAAGACGTGCTGAAGATTACTTGACCGAATTGGCCAGACAAACGGTAGCATAATGAGTAGGAAATGCAGCTTCGAAGACGCATGTAGTACAAAGGAAACGTACCTTGAAAACGCTCTTGGCGCCCTCACAGCCGAAGTATTCCGAATGACGACTGGTAACAAACATGCGATAATTGGTAGTCACTTAAGCTTCAGAGCATCACTGACAGGTGGCATCCATGTCGTACGGTTTTCGAAATATCTCGAATTTCGGCTTTGCCCCAACTCCGGCATTGCCCCAACTTCCCCTATGGTCTTATAACTAACACCATTGGGTTTAAAATGAAAAATTGGCGATAAAACATGCATCACACAGCCCTAGTAAAATTGGGTTAATGTGCTGACCCTTGGTGACCCGAGCTTTGACCTGACCTGGTACTATCAGTGACTTCTAATAGCAACATATGTACTAGGCAACTGACGCCCTTTTGCTGATTTTCGATAAAATGCGTTTTACTCGATGTTATAGCGCATTCCCTAGAAGACCCGTGACCCGCAAAACATTTTATCTTTGACCTGACCTGTGACGTCATCGGTGACCCCGAGGTCAATAAAATAGAAATTTCCCTCGACAAATTGACAGGGCCTTCGAACGCCGTTTGAATTTTGTGGATCTGTCCAGTAATTTCGGAGATACGAGGGGGGGGGGCAAAAATAGCCCCCCCCCCCACCAGGTTGCGCTATAAACAGACCCCACCAGGGCGCGGGTTAAATTCTGTGACCCAATGCTCACCAAAGACACCCTTCATTGCGTGATAACCGGAACAGCCTATAGCATTTCGGTCAACTGATTGCTTGTGAGGAGGGGATCATCATTTTGTAGTCAGCTATACCTACAAAAAGGGAAGCATTTAAAGGGACTATCCCACCTTCTAAAATGTTGTTAAAACCAGTTAAATTGTGCCCGACTTTATAGATTGGATGACCAGGAACACGGTTCTGCCATTTATTTTTCATTAAATATCTTAGGCTTCCCATATTCCAAACACAAACTTTCAAATATGTGACGTCACAGCCCAAAAGTACCTCCTTCCCCAGGCCACATTACTGTCATAAAGCTGATTCTTTTTACTCTGTAGGCACCACAACAAAGTTCAGACCAAGTTTAAAGCGATTTTTCAACGAACAAACCCATTTAAATCAGAATGACTAAACGAGGTGACGTCACACTACACTGAAAGAAAAACTACACCTGAAATTGGAATATTATTACGGTACACAAATCCCCACCCCTTTTAACTTCATTTTATGCCAGAGTAAAAGATGTTTGCATGGACAATTGGAGATTAATTCTGCCACCCGGTAGTAAGAAATATATCCTCGTAAGCTTAGAACTACACCCGTTGCGGAATAAAAGTACGGTACACAAATCTCCACCCCAAATCAATTCATTTTACACCCCTAGGTAAAGGGTGTAAAGGGGCGTTAGGAAGAATTAAGCATGTAATTTACGATAATAATTTTACGCCACAGTGCAATTTAAGCCAAAACAATTTCTACGCCTTGCGACATGGTGTAGAAATACCAGCCCAGCCAGCCTTCCCAAATGGGGCCCATATGGGCCCCAAGTGGGCAGCAAACTGGGGCCCATCTGGGCTGCCCACTTGGGGCCCAGATGTGTTTGTCATGGGCGTCCAACTGGGTCCCATATGGGCAGCCCAGATGGCCCCATATGGGGCCCAGCCGGGGCACATATGGGTCCCACATGGGCTTTCCCAGCCGGGACCCACATGGGTATAATTGAAGAATCCCACATGGGGCCCATGTGGGTTCGAAATGGGACCCATATGGGGCCCAGCCGGGGCACATATGGGTCCCACATGGGCTTTCCCAGCCGGGACCCACATGGGTATAATTGAAAAATCCCACATGGGGCCCATGTGGGTTCGAAATGGGACCCATATGGGTCCCAGCCGGGGCACATATGAGTCCCACATGGGCTTTCCCAGCCGGGACCCACATGGGTATAAGCGAAAAATCCCACATGGGGCTCATGTGGGTTCGAGATGGGACCCATATGGGGCCCAGCCGGGGCACATATGGGTCCCACATGGGCTTTCCCAGCCGGGACCCACATGGATATAAGCGAAAAATCCCACATGGGGCCCATGTGGGTTCGAAATGGGACCCTAATGGGGCCCAGCCGGGGCACATATGGGTCCCACATGGGCTTTCCCAGCCGGGACCCACATGGGTATAAGCGAAAAATCCCACATGGGGCCCATGTGCGTTCGACATGGGACCCATATGGGGCCCAGCCGGGTCCCATATGGGCTTTCCCAGCCGGGACCCAAATGGGTATAAGCGAAAAATCCCACCTGGAGCCTATGTGGGTTCGAAATGGGACCCAGCTGGGACCCATACCCAGCCAACATTATTACCTTGGCCCCACATGGGGCCCAGGTGGGCCACTTGGTGGGACCCATGTGGGCAGCCCATGTGGGGCCCACATAAATTTGTCCCTGGGTAAATGGTGGGGCCCACCTGGGCTGGCCCACGTGGGCTCAAAGTGGGTACCATATGGGGCCCACCTGGGCTGGCCCACATGGGCCCAAGATGGGCACCATATGTGGCCCACCTGGGCTGGCCCACATGGGCTCAAGGTGGGTACCATATGGGGTCCACGTGGGCCAGCAGATGTGGGCCCTAGGTGGGCCCCATGCTGGCTCACCTCCCTAGCATCGTTTGTATTAATCAATAAATATTCACCAAAGCCCATCTTAGTTCCCACCAGAACCTACAATTAATTTCAATATGATTATAATATAATCGATGTCTGCTATTTCAATCACTCCCCCTGACCATTGCTGAACGTTCGCCACCGCAACAAAACAAACTGTCAGTGATCAATATTTATATTATCGATAAACACAAAAATGCTGTTTAAACTCTCTCCTCTCTTCTGTTCATCTCTAGACTTCTTCTCTCATCTGCTCCTCCGCTTAAACTCCAGCTGGTGTCCTCTCCTGGCGGCCTCCGTCGCGGTTCCTGGCACCCGTAAACCACTTTCGTGGCGCCACCTCCAGCTGGCCGTTGTTGGTGTCCTGGGTAAGCCCGTTCCGCCGCACGGCTCCTGTAAAATAAGCACCAGCAATGTAAAAGGTGCAGACACATAAGCGAATTGTGTATTGCCCGTGCTGTGTTCTACCATGATTCTGTATTACCTGCATTAAAAGTAACTTCATCTGATTTGACTTGAATTAATTGAGAAATGAACTTAAGATATTTTTTTTTTGCAGGAAATAATCTGATGCAGAATGAACATACAAGGTCCGATTATGATGGACACAAAGGACATTAGTGCTTTATAAGTCGGCTGCTTGGAATTCGCTAATCGGACAGTAATTGACGACACCTGAAATAACATATGAATTGGAGTGCTGCTGTTATTCTGACAACCGCTATCAGGTGTCCAAGGGAGTTGGGCAATTAAATAAAGAGATAAAACCATTACTTACTGAACACGACATCAAAAAGCCGGGTACCGCCGAAAGCCCTTTTCCCGTGCCGTCCATTTACGCTAAGTCGCGTAGCGAGTGCGCTCGTCATGACGCCTTCTATCGTCCTTCGGACCGGTGTAAGCGGGGGCGCTTACACCGAGGTCGGCGACAAACAGCCACCCGGAGTATCTGTCCACTGCCGCGAGGTACCTACTTCCTGCCGGCGTGATCGGCAAAGTCGATGTGTAGTTCGAACGGCCTTTCCGCTGGCGGTCTCCTCATCATGGTCTCTTGCTGCTGAGCGAGTAGATCTCTCTGGCAGCTGGTACAGTAGCGGGTGACATTTTCCACATCCCGGTAGATCCCGGGCCAGTAGACGATCTGTCTTGCGCGGGCCTTCGTTTTCTCCTTCCCCAGGTGGCTGGCGTGGAGGGCTTCTAGAACAGTCCTTCGTAATCGCTGTGGTATGACGAGCCTGCAGCCGATCCGGCCTGACCGACTGGACATCTCCACCGACCGCAGTGACGCCTTCTACCTCTGGAAGGAGAGATGGGACGACTACGTCCTGATGTCACAGCTGCGACTCGACCAACTAGCGATACAGCTGGCGTCGCTGCGGGCGCGCCTCTCCGAAGAGACTCGAACGCGGTCGTGGTTGCGGCGCGGCCGCCACGGCTACGCATTCCTGCTTCCTTTCACTTTCGTTAATCGCACTTTGTACTCACTATGGGCGGGTTCGAGCTAATACCGACCGCGCCATGTGTCGGTTCCGCCCGAATTAAGGCTTTATTGGACACGCACACCACTCAGAGTCTCAACGCCAACTGGCCCGCCCAGACGCCGCAGCCCCGCCAGCCGGTCGGCCGGTCACCGCCCCGGGCGGTGCAGAGGCGGCCCCAGGCCCCGTCCGGTGGGCCGAGCTCCGCCGGCGGGTCGCCCGCGCAGGGGCGGGCTCAGGCGACACAATCATACGACACAATCACAACATTGACATTTGACTGTCCAATATCAGCCGTAGCTGGTCTCACAAACATCAACTATGCGACTTCCTCACGACGTCGAAGTGTATTTTGGAGGCATGAGACTAAACAGCGAGTTCTTTTTTTTCTTGTAATATCATACACATTGGACAGTGAAAAAATAAATAATGGGCTGCCCACATCCAGCCCACCTACACCCCACTACATGGGCTGCCCACGCAGTGCCCATGTTAAGCCCACCATACAGGAACACCGCGTGAATGCCTGTGTTCACCAAAATTCCTGGATATGCCCTCGTACATGTGCAAGCAATCTCATTATCAAGCATTATACCTGTCAAAAAATATGTGGGCAGCCCATGTGGGGCCCACATGCAGCCCACATATTTGCCCATCTCTAGCCCATGGCCCACCTAGCCCACCATGCCCATCAACTGCCCATGTGGGGCCCACATGGGCATGCTGGCTGGGGTTTGCCCATTTGGGCCCCACGTGGGCCCCGGATGGGTGTGCCCAGTTTGTTGGTGCCCAGTCTGCCCACATGCTGCCCGCATCCAGCCCAGATAGGTGTCGGGTCAGTTAACAAAGTTTTGTAGTAAGGTTTGCCCATTTGGGCCCCATGTGGGCCCTGGATGGGTGTGCCCAGCTTGTTGGTGCCCAGTCTGCCCACATGCTGCCCGCATCCAGCCCAGATAGGTGTCGGGTCAGTTAACAAAGTGTAGTAAAGTTTGCCCATTTGGGCCCCATGTGGGCCCCGGATGGGTGTGCCCAGCTTGTTGGTGCCCAGTTTGCCCACATGCTGCCCGCATCCAGCCCAGATAGGTGCCGGGTCAGTTAACAAAATTTTGTAATAAAGGAAATGTTTATTGCAGATTGGTGTTGGTGTCGGGTCAGTTAACAATTATTTTTGTAGTAACTTTTGCCCATGTGGGCCCTGGATGGGTGTGCCCACCTTGTTGGTGCCCAGTCTGCCCACATGCTGCCCGCATCCAGCCCAGATAGGTGTCGGGTCAGTTAACAAAGTTTTGTAGTAAATTTTGCCCATGTGGGCGGCTGGGCCCCATGTGGGCCCCGGCTGGGTGTGCCCAGCGTGTTGGTGTCCAGTTTGCCCACATGCTGCCCGCATCCAGCCCAGATACCTAGGTGTCGGGTCGGTTAACAAAGTTTTGTAGTAAATTTTGTCCATGTGGGCGGCCGGGCCCCATGTGGGCCCCGGCTGGGTGTGCCCAGCTTGTTGATGTCCAGTTTGCCCACATGCTGCCCGCATCCAGCCCAGATAGGTGTCGGGTCAGATACCAACATTTTGTAGTAAAGGAAATGTCCATATCCCAGCAAACATGCCCACATGGTTCCCATATGGGGCCCACATGGCCCCCCACCTCTTCCATATGGGCCCCACATGGGAATAGCAGTGGGTGGCACATGGGACCCATATGGGCAAGCGCACGTAGGCCCCATATGAGACCCACGCGGCCCCCACATCAGGGACCCATATGGGCCAGCCTACATTGACCCCATATGGCATCATGTATGAACGTGATGTACTTGGAGTCCAAAATTCACATGAACAACAGTCACCTTTTTTGCTTTTATGCTCTTGGAGTAACTTAAATGGGGCCTACATGGGTGATCCATATGGGACCCACATGGGATGCCCATCTCCAGCCCACATGCGTTTGGCCCACCTGGCCCATTTTTCCCATATGGGGCCCATATGGGTAGCCCATCTGTAGCCCATGTCCCACGTGGGCCCATCTGGCCCATGTTCACCCCATATGGGACCCACATGGGATGCCCATCTCCAGCCCACATGCGTTTGGCCCACATGGCCCATTTTCCCATATGGGGCCCATATGGGTAGCCCATCTGTAGCCCATGTCCCACGTGGGCCCATCTGGCCCATGTTCACCCCATATGGGACCCACATGGGATGCCCATCTCCAGCCCACATGCGTTTGGCCCACCTGGCCCATTTTTATCCCATATGGGGCCCATATGGGTAGCCCATCTGTAGCCCATGTCCCACGTGAGCCCATTTGGCCCATGTTTACCCTATATGGGACCCACATGGGATATCCATCTCCAGCCCACATGCGATTGGCCCACCTGGCCCATTTTTATCCCGTATGGGGCCCATATCGGTAGCCCATCTGTAGCCCATGTCCCACTGGGCCCATCTGGCCCATGTTTACCCCATATGGGACCCACATGGGATGCCCATCTCCAGCCCACATGCGTTTGGCCCACCTGGCCCATTTTTATCCCATATGGGGCCCATATGGGTAGCTCATCTGTAGCCCATGTCCCACGTGAGCCCATCTGGCCCATGTTCACCCCATATGGGACCCACATGGGATGCCCATCTCCAGCCCACATGCGTTTGGCCCACCTGGCCCAGTTTTATCCCATATGGGGCCATATGGATAGCCCATCTGTAGCCCATGTCCCAACTCCCACGTGGGCCCATCTGCCCCATGTTCACCGCATATGGGACCCACATGGGATGCCCATCTCCAGCCCACATGCGTTTGGCCCACCTGGCTCATTTTTATCCCTTATGGGGCCCATATGGGTAGCCCATCTGTAGCCCATGTCCCACGTGGGCCCATCTGGGACCCACATGGGATGCCTATCTCCAGCCCACATGCGTTTGGCCCACCTGGCCCATTTTTATCTCATATGGGGCCCATATGGGTAGCCCATCTGTAGCCCATGTCCCACTGGGCCCATCTTGCCCATGTTTACCCCATATGGGACCCACATGGGATGCCCATCTCCACCCCACATGCGTTTGGCCCACCTGGCCCATTTTTATCCCATATGGTGCCCATATGGGTAGCCCATCTGTAGCCCATGTCCCACGTGAGCCCATCTGGCCCATGTTCACCCCATATGGGACCCACATGGGATGCCCATCTCCAGCCCACATGCGTTTGGCCCACCTGGCCCATTTTTATCCCATATGGGCCCATATGGGTAGCCCATCTGTAGCCCATGTCCCACGTGGGCCCATCTGGCCCATGTTCACCGCATATGGGACCCACATGGGACGCCCATCTCCAGCCCACATGCGTTTGGCCCACCTGGCTCATTTTTATCCCTTATGGGGCCCATATGGGTAGCCCATCTATAGCCCATGTCCCACGTGGGCCCATCTGGGACCCACATGGGATGCCCATCTCCAGCCCACATGCGTTTGGCCCACCTGGCCCATTTTTATCTCACATGGGGCCCATATGGGTAGCCCATCTGTAGCCCATGTCCCACTGGGCCCATCTGGCCCATGTTTACCCCATATGGGACCCACATGGGATGCCCATCTCCAGCCCACATGCGTTTGGCCCACCTGGCCCATTTTTATCCCATATGGGGCCCATATGGGTTGCCCATCTGTAGCCCATGTCCCACGTGAGCCCATCTGGCCCATGTTCACCCCATATGGGACCCACATGGGATGCCCATCTCCAGCCCACATGCGTTTGGCCCACCTGGCCCATTTTTATCCCCTATGGGGCCCATATGGGTAGCCCATCTGTAGCCCATGTCCCACGTGGGCCCATCTGGCCCATGTTCACCCCACATGGGACCCACATGGGATGCCCATCTCCAGCCCACATGCGTTTTGCCCACCTGGCCCATTTTTATCCCATATGGGGCCCACGTGGGTAGCCCATCTGTAGCCCATGTCCCACGTGGGCCCATCTGGCCCATGTTCACCCCATATGGGACCCATGTGGGCATGTTTGCTGGGGCTCAGCCCATACGGGACCCAGATTTAGCCCAGATAATAGCCCACATGTAGCCCATGCCCACTTAAGCCCAGATGCCCCACTTTCAGCCCATATGGGCCCCATTTGGGAAGGCTGGCTGGGAGCGGGGTGCGAAGCTGAATGTGTACAATTTAAGTCAAGATGTAAAAATAGCTCACGTTATAATCCGCATACAAAACAAAAGTAAACGATAATAATTGTATGTTCTTTTCCAGAGGGAGTAAAAATACGACTGGGTAAATATACATCGCCAGCCATAACTATCCCCCAGCGTGATTGTATCTACTGTCGTCTTCTGAGCACTTTCGATAAAGTCAACTATGGTGCATCTCTCCAACGCGAACGTGTTGTTTATTTAACCCGCGCCCCAGTGGCGGTCTCAGCCAACTTCGCCCTAGTGGGGGGGGGGGGGCATATGTTACCACCCACCTCTAACTCAAAAACTAAGAGGGCTAGAAAGACGCGGTAAAAAGCAGTCGATAGCTCTCAATGCGTACGTTTGAAAGTATTTCGGTCATTTTTCACCTTAGAGCAATATTGGGGTCACCAGAGGTCATCAAAGGTCAAAATTTGCCAATGGTCATTATATTTTTCAGAAAACATGCCGCTATCTCAGGAACTATGGTAGCTAGAAAAACGCATGGAAGACCAAACGATAGCTTTTGAACTCTTCTTTTGAAAAGGTCATTATCAATATTGACCTCAGGTCAACGGTGTAGCCTCCAGAGGGCAAAAACTCCAAAAATAGCTGTTTTTACGGAAAGTGTTTTTCGACAATAACTTTCGACTCCAAAAAGCCACGACATTTCTATGGCCAGAATCGTGTTTCTCTCGCCCAGACGCGTCGAATGAACTATAATTTGACCTTGAAAGGTCAACTTGAAAATTTGACCTCAGGTCAAGGTCATGACCTGACCGGAAACGGTCATGTTGCATATCAATCGATGCGTCTCAACAAGACAAACACAATGAGACCATCCCCAGCGTTCTATCTCTTTCCAATCGCGAGTTATTGGCAAAAAACTGTTTGTAGCCTCAAGTGACCTCGGATGACCTGTCTAGAGGCTATCAGCAAAAATGACACCTTGGTCATCACGAGTGGACTAAATCATTGTGATTCTGAAATATTTGGACTGTTCCGATGCGTACACACGGATCTAGAGGCATTTTCATTTTTCTCCATTGACTTGTAATGGAAAGGTCACGCCACTGACCTGACCTTAGGTCACAGATATAAAAAATCCGAGATATACAAATTGTAGGCGCCCATAACAGCATGCAATCCACCAAGTTTCAAATCTTTCTGACAAACACTGTAGGCTGGACATGATTGCAAACTTTTTTTTAGGCTTGGTCAGTTAACTTGACCTGGTGACCTGACCTGACATGACCTGGGGTCAAAAATTTCACACATTGTCCGAAATTGATGTACCAAAAGCTACCCCAAGCGGCGCGGCGCTACGCGCCGCGGTTTTTTAGTCACACGCAAAAAACGCGACAGGGTGGTAACATATGCCCCCCCCCCCCACTGGGGCGAAGGTTAAAATAACTTGAAACGACAGATCACAGGTTGCTACAGATTGGTTCCTCCCAACACTGACTTCCCTGAGGAGATCACAAGCTGCACAGATCACATTTTATTCACGGCACAGGTCATCAGGTCACTAAGTCACGTTTCATCATGTACGGTTCTCCAGGGTATTAGTCGTTGGTCGCTCGGCGAGCGGGAGGGCAACCAGTTCCGCCCCTGTATCGCGTGACCCCTTGCTCCGCCCAGTTACGCACGAGCGTACTCCACGCCGCGTAGTAGCGTGGGGAGGGGAGAGTTAGAATGGTGGCATGTGTAGAGGCTAGAACCGGTTTCCACCGCCATGCCACCGCCCAGCGACATGGAGCGGGGTCAGTGACCAGGGCGCAGGGAAAGGTCAGAGCCAGAGGTCAGCTATAACGTAGAGCTTTGTGTCTCCCTCCCCTCCGCGTGTAACGACCGCACGACAGCGGCCGGCCGCCAATCAGGCTTGACATGTCAAGGTCACCCGCAGTCAACGGGCTCAGAGGGTTGGTCGAGTGCGTGTCCGTGGCTGACGACAGTCTCGACCATGTGCTATGGTGCCGATAGACTAGCGTGGGTAATAAGTTTTTGTTCAGTGCATATGGCTGCTGGGGTGTGTCATCTTGATATGATGCTTTGTAACGCGTATGATACGCTTAAAACCTCGCTGGCAGTGGCCAAGGAGAGGGGGGCGGGGAGGGGGGTGCCGCCTCCACATGTTTATTCTTGTTGATAGCTGCGAGAGCTGAAATTTGGCAAGCCTGACCTTTGATTCAAGCTGAACTTTTATGACAGCAGCTGTATTTTCACCCTCGCCCATATTGGTGTTTTGCCAGCGTCTATCGTAAGGGGGGGGGAGGGTCCGTTGGACCCCTTTGCCGTTCAGCCCCTGATCGAGCTAGAGCTTCGCGGAAAAACAGCGTGTTGCCCGTGACGAGAGGAGGCCGATGATACCCAATTTTAAGGTCCTAGGTCATTGGTTGACAGGTCAATATAACTCAAAAGTCGGGGAATCGGGACCTGTTAGAGCTTCGTTAAAGGGAGATAATGAGCTTTCTTTTTTCTTAAATAAAAATTACTCGACATCTATACTATTTCTACTGTAGTTTCTATAAAATATGAAAATTTCCTAGCACATTTTCGTATGTGAAAAAGGTTTTATTTTTGCAAAAAAGAAGCAGTACTTGCAGTACTTGTAACACCCACCGAAATGCGTTGTCCTTCTCTATAAAAAAGTCGCAGTATATGGCGCTTTTGTTTCAAACAGCGACGCTTGGGTTTTTGTTTATGTTATCGCCTTGTCGTTGCTTGGTTGTAAGGATTCTAATTTGAATTAGAGTTAATTCGGTTTAGAATTAATTAGATTCTAATTCGGGGGTACATAGTGCCTACTCTTCTTTGTTTCCAAGTATTATTTTGCGCCACAAATGAACGGCAAGCGCCAGAAACGCAGCCAAATCTTGCGATTGCGACTACGAAATTCATTATTTAGGCCTCAGAGCCTGAAGCGAAAAATACAAGCATATTTATTTCAAAAAGACTTCAGGTTTGTCGAACGGTGTTATGAGAATTTTGATAACAGTACTGCATAAGTTTTTCAGTGATGCCGCAAAAGTGTTGTATCTATCTTCTTTTATTGTGCAGTCGGCGGGACCGATTCAAAATTGAGTCGTTGCTACTAAAATAGCAGCATATGGCGACAGATGATGAACAGGAAAAATAGTTGCGTAAATTTAGACATAAACCACCCCCAAACCATGAATATCTTTTGAAGGCACTATAGACGACCATTAACTAACTAGATGTGATGAAGATCAAATGTAATGAATACGCTCATTTTACAAAATTACATGCAAGTACCAAAAAGTGATGTAAGTACTTATTCAACGGTCATTTTCAGCGCTCCCCGCTAACGTGACTTCAAGTTGAGATATTTGCGGCAAGGTACCGAATTGAGCAAAATGGTTTTAATTTACATTATACCTTGTTGTGTTTTGTCAGAAAATGGTCCTAACTCAGATTTTGTGGAAAAAGGTCATAATCTCCCTTTAAGTGAAGCTGTTACAAGGTTTTGCGGGGTGCTGATCACGAATTTCAATTTAGTTTTGATCACAGATGATGTTTTCGTGCATTTAGGCCAGGTCAGGTCAGGTCACATGTTACGAGGGAACCACAACTACTTCTTAAATGTTCAAACGGTTTCTAAATGCGAAATCAACTCCAAAATCTACCCTAGAAACATGTAGAACTCGAAAGAGTGAACAAAGGTCATCAAAGGTCAGTGACCTGGCTGACCTTCACCGGACCTTGATACCCACTAGAATCCATGGGATCAACATCCTTTCACATGTTTGATCGCTTGAAGCCACAAAAAGACAATAGAACGCGCTCTTCTCGAAATACACCAAACCGCGATTCCGGCCAAACATGGTCTCGGAAAACAGGTCACAAGTCAAAGGTCTTTTGAGTCAGGGTCATACAAATTATAGGGTAGGCGTAATATTGATTTACTCGAGGGTAATGGAAGTTTCGTCGCAATCTGTCGCTTTTTGCGCGAGTTATTTGCGAAAAACCGAGTGTAGGAGGTCTATTCGACATCCTCCTACAAGTGCGAAGGTTAGGGTCAGGCCGTTGACCAATGACGTCAAAAGCGAACCTCTGTAAGGTCCCAAAATGTCGCGACGTCGCAGCACCCTTCGTGCCAGGGGACTTTTCAACATGGAATGAAGCTTATATGATCTAGTACTATCTTCCAGAGGCCTCACAACTTGTATGTAGCTATCCCGTATTTTTCTCAAGAGTCACCTGAAGTCAGGTCGGTCACGCAACCTCACGATTATTAATCAATTGGGAAATATGAAAGCTGTTATTTTGGCGCCGGGAGCCATCTAAAGCTGTCTCAAGCGCATTAATTCGCAATTTTATACAATCTTTGCGAGCCCCAGCGGCCAGCATTCACTTTTCCATTCTTAAAGTTAAGCGACTTTATTTATAACGTCACTAGGGTCACGGGAGTTTTCACCAAAAAGTCCCGATCAAATTGAGCTAGCGAGTCGGGAAGCCACCAGTGGACTTGTGAGGACTTACCGAATCTAAGAAGCGATATGACCTCCTTGGGCCAGCTTCGTGGCCTGAGTGGCTCTGCCCTGACCATGCCCTGATGTGAACACCTTAAATTGACCTAAAAAAAACAAAGCGTATACTAGTCGACGCGCTTGAGCATGCAAAACTCGATGGTGCCATTATCTTGGCTCTGTAACCACTTATGGTGGTTGTTTACCAAAAACCGATCCCGCGATTTGGAGCACTTATACTGACCTCAGAGTTTATCGGTTGACCTGAGACATTCAACTCGGGTACCAGTTGCTGCATCTCATACGACGCTCGCGCTCAGTTTCATCCGCAAGGCGCTAGCTCAATTAGGGGCAAAAAGACGGAGAGGGGTCGTAATCGACCCCCTCCCCTCGGCCGGGGTATATGCAGAAAACCCAAAATTCCGTTGAGGGTTAAGCACTGAAGTGATATATTATGCACTGAAAACAAATCTACTCGTATATGGAGGGTAAAGGTCATTTTACCAGTCGCTAATGAGTTTCAATCGCTGGTTTACTCGTGTATGAAGCATTCCAAGCCCTGAGTTCTGGTTTACTCATTACAAAAACTCATACAAAGAAATCAATGACCTGCCATCCATGAGTAAGGCGACCCCGAACGCATGAAATAAGAGTTCCTTGACTCATGTATTGCGCGTAATTATCGTACTCACGAATTATGCATTCACTAAATCTGTAGAAAGCGAGTTCTGGAAGTGAGTTATGAGTAAATAAAATCACAAATCGTGCGTAAAAAGCGTACTCACAGCCGACCGGTTATCAAACTCGTTTTCGACGTGTTTCTTTACCGATGGATCATAGGCCGCCTCGCCGCCATTTTCGTTCCGGCCGGATCCGTGTGTGCAGGGGGAGTCGCGTGCTGCTAATAAGGTGAGTAAAATACCAGATATTTTGCTTTATTAAGTATATTGTGCGTGGAAAATACCGGAGAATTAAACGACAGCTCTCTTTGCTAGCCTACATGCATGCCTGGGACATAAATATACAGTAAAGGGGCCAGGAAGTTCACATGTGTGACCCCGCGTCCACGTCATACTGCAGTTTAGGTATCAGACTGCCTTTCAAGCAGCGTACAATGAATTTATAGACCTCTGTACATCCAGATCCAGGGTAACAGGCAGAATAGCTGATATTTTTAATATGCACATTGCCAGGATCATGCTTGTGGCAAAATTGCATGCCAAAAGCTTTAGTGCATGTCCAGCGTAACATCACATGCGCTGAGTTCGAAAATGCATCAGGTTTTCACAGCCTTAAAGTTCAGGGTAAAAAAAAAATGTTGACCTTTTTTGCTGTGCACTGCTGAAGACAAAAAAAAAACAGTACCATCCAAAAGCTACCTGTGACATGCCTATCAGAGGAATACCAAAATGTAAATGCAAACAAATGGCAGCATATGCAAGTTCACAGGTGCCCAGCTATGATAAAAAATTGATTTAGGTCGAAGGTGGGTAGGTTGGAATGCTGTGCTTGGTGTCTGGTGAAAAATGATTTTGAAACTGCTTTGAGCTGTTCTCAGATGAAATTTTACCACAAATATTCCTTGTGCACATGACTCGCAGGCTGGCCAGGCAGTGCCCATGCCACACTGCAGTTTCCCATGACGTTATGCTGTTAAGGTGATTGTTAACCTTCGCCCCAGTGGGGGGGGGGCATATGTTACCACCCTGTCGCGTTTTTTGCGTGTGAATAAAAAACCGCGGCGCGTAGCGCCGCGCCGCTTGGGGTAGCTTTTGGTACATCAATTTTGGATAATGTGTGAAATTTTTGACCCCAGGTCATGTCAGGTCAGGTCACCAGGTCAAGTTAACTGACCAGGCCTAAAAAAAAGTTTGCAATCATGTCCAGCCTGCAGTGTTTGTCAGAAAGGTTTCAAACTTGGTGGATTGCATGCTGTTATGGGCGCCTACAATTTGTATATCTCGGATTTTTTATATCCGTGACCTAAGGTCAGGTCAGTGGCGTGACCTTTCCATTACAAGTCAATGGAGAAAAACGAAAATGCCTCTAGATCCGTGTGTACGCATCGGAACAGTCCAAATATTTCAGAATCACAATGATTTAGACCACTCGTGATGACCAAGGTGTCATTTTTGCTGATAGCCTCTAAACAGGTCATCCGAGGTCACTTAAGGCTACAAACAGTTTTTTGCCAATAACTCGCGATTGGAAAGAGATAGAACGCTGGGGATGGTCTCATTGTGTTTGTCTTGTTGAGACGCATCGACTGATATGCAACATGACCTTTTCCGGTAAGGTCATGACCTTGACCTGAGGTCAAATTTTCAAGTTGACCTTTCAAGGTCAAATTATAGTTCATTCGACGCGTCTCGGCGAGGGGAACACGATTCTGGCAATAGAAATGTCGTGGCTTTTTGTAGTCGAAAGTTATTGTCGAAAACCACTTTTCGTAAAAACGGCTATTTTTGGAGTTTTTGCCCTCTGGAGGCTAAACCGTTGACCTGAGGTCAATATTGATAATGACTTTTTCAAAAGAAGAGTTCAAAAGCTATTGATTGCTTTTCCATGCGTTTTTCTAGCTATCATAGTTCATGAGATAGCGGCATGTTTTCTGAAAAATATAATGACAATTAGCAAATTTTGACCTTTGATGACCTCTGGTGACCCCAATATTGCTCTAAGGTGAAAAATGACCGAAATACTTTCAAACGGACGCATTGAGGGCTATCGACTGCTTTTTACCGCGTCTTTCTAGCCCTCTTAGTTTTTGAGTTAGAGGTGGGTGGTAACATATGCCCCCCCCCCCCTCACTAGGGCGAAGTTGGCCGAGACCGCCACTGGGGCGCGGGTTAAGGTGTTAATAGTGAAGAACAAATAGAAATAAACATGTCATATCATACCACCCAGTGCCGTTCTGTCTAATACCACCACGTTTTCCACGCCCCCAGTCTCTGGTTTCCTACAATCCTTCTCCTCCAGATCCTACCATGCTAATCACCCAAAATCCATCATCCCTTTCCTCTGTATTTACCGAGACAGCAGTGGTGTTGAGTTGCCAAAACAGACACCCTCCTATGTGTTTCCACACCCCTTCCTGAGCTACCTGTACTTTTGAAGTTTTCACAGCTACAAGATCAGCTCCACTTTTCTCATGCATCTTACTAACTACCTGAAATCCCCACTGTTGCTGCTCATGACATTGCTCTCCCTTTGTTCACTTCCTCAGGACCAATTCCTGGTCACGAGCCACTATCTTTAGCATCCCCACAAGTTCCTATTTTAACTCCATCTACCCTTTCCCCTCTACAAGGCACTTTGACAAAAGCTCCTCCAGCTCAGCAACCCTGGCCTGCAGTAGTTGAATCCTAGTCATATTCACGTCTAGGTCAGTACCTATAACTCAGCTAAAAACCTTTTTAACGATTCCTTATAACTAGGTATAAAGATTTGTTGTTCTTTTTTCTTTTTTGAAGGTGGATAACTAGCTAGGTATTAGGCCTGAAAAACTCCCTCAAAATTAGTGCACGGACTTAAGCTAACTCAATATCTGCCCTTTATCAATAACCTAAGAAACCTGCTTTGCTCTGAAAAAATTAGCCTCAAATTCACTTAATTTTCCCATATCCAACTCAACTAACCAGCAATCTAAATGTTCCGCAGTGTCCTTTGAACGTGACACCAAGACACATATTTTTGTATGTTCGGTAGACAAACATGCTTTAAATTTTAATGCCCGATTTTCAAACAAACTAGTTTAGAACGTATTGCAGCAAAACTAAACATTAAAAGTTACAAAATCAGATGACGTTTTCTCCCAGCACCGGTGCATTAGTTTTCTCTCAGGAAACTCTGTTCAAAAAAGACTGGCTGACCGTAACTGTGTATTGTTGTGGCGTACATTAATAACATCCATTGGTTTGTTATTCAGGGTCCCAGCACCTCTGTCGATGCGGAGGTCACGGCCGCCACCGCCGACCCCGGCGAGGGCACCAGCGCGAGCGGGCCGCCGGCGATGGACATTGAGGAGAGCTGGCTCGTTATCGGTGAGTATAGAGAGTGAATGCTCATTTGAATGACTACGGCTTCGCTCCGCTCAGCCTCCGTCTGAATAATATGTTGCCCTGCCCGTCGTCAAGGACGTTGTCCGGCCCTCTGCTAAATTTAATTTATTTAGCAGCATTTGTGGACTTTGTGAACATTTGTGAGCGTTGCATGTTTGGAAATAAACTTGCCCTAGGGCTGGCAATTTAATTAGCAAACCTCGTATTTTATCGAAATACCTCGGGTCTAATGACCCTCGGAACTTTGGCAAAAACTCAGTGACATAATTAAATTGTCCCAGCCCCGGGTATGTATATTTTTTTTGCTGCTCTCGAAGTTCCTGTTTTTTTTTTCACCTGACGGCTCGGGATAAAACCGTTACATCACTCGAGAGAAAAATATGCGTTAATCGACCCGAGGCAGCTTGCTCGGGATATAACCATTAATAATATCGGAAATATTTGTTCTCGTTGCAGACAATGCAGTCGACCACCTGCTGCACCACGCTGGCGAGCACGGAGCTGCTCTACGTGGAGAATGAGGCGGTTGTCGAGTTCAAAGAGCTAACCTCGGCGGTCGACTTAAGTGACCAGCTGCCGGGACAGAGACTGACCGGCAGAGTTCTGTTGGTGCCTCATACTTTTCTCTGTTTGTTTCTGTTTTCTGTTCCGCAAGTTTTTGTCATTATAACTAGTTGCAGTTTAAGTAGCTTGTTGCAGTTCGTTTATATTTTGTTGCAGGGTGTCCCGCCCTTAACCGTAAAGAGACGTGAAACGTTGGACGCTAATGAATGAGATACGAGATAGGATACGAAATAATATAATCGCACACAAAGCTGTGAAATAGAAAGCTGCTTGTATACAGGGGCGTAGGCAGGGGGGGGCCACTGGGCCATGGCCCCCCCCTTGGGCGCCGAATGCGCCCTTTGCGATTGGAGGGCGCCGAAGGCGCCCTCCAATCGCAAATGCAATTGTGATATAATCGTTTGTTAGTGATCGAATCGAAAAACAATCGCGACTGGAGGGCGCCCTCCAATCGCGAATGTGTTTACAGGGAAAATATGGATGGAGGGCGCCCTCGGAGGACGCCCATTCCAAATACGCCCTCCAAATACGGTTGGAGGGCTCCCTCGGGCGCCCTCCAACCACATTTGTAGGCTGTAGCTCTCTAAGCGTAACGGTGGTCGCCTATGTAAGCCGCTGTCCTGTAAATAAGCGCCCTCTCACCCGAAGGCGCCCTCCTGTAGGTCGCCACCCTGCTACACATTGCCGCCCTTCTGCTGATCGGCGTCCTCATAATTATTGGCGCTCTCCTACCTATTGCGCCCTCATGTGAAATTTTGAAGGCCGCCTTTCTCCCTTTTGGCACCCTCTTGTTCAGTGCCGCCCTCCTACCTATTGGTTCCCTAGTCCTTCCTGTTGAATGTTAATCGGGGTCCTTCTCCTATTGGCGCCCTCGTGTAGATCGCCGCCCTCCTAACCACTGGCACCCTCCTGTTGATCACCGCCCTCCTATCCACTGGCACCTTCCTGTTGACCAGCGCCCTCCGCACAGACGCCCTCCTGTTCGTGTCATCCTCTTGAGCAAAGGCGCCCTCCTCACCATTGCCACCCCCATTTTAATCGTCACCCTTCCGCTCATTGGCGACTTCCAGTTGATGACCGCCATCCCACCTATTGGCGACCTCTTGTTGATCGCCACCCTCCTATTGGTGCTCTCCTGTTCCTCGCCACCCTCTTACCTGGTGGCGCCCTCCTGTTGATTGTTGATCGGCGCCCTCCTACCTATTGGTGCCCTCCTGTTGATCGCTGCCCTTCTATCCATTGGCGCCCTCCTGCTACTCGCCAACATCCTACCTATCGGTGCCCTACTGTCGAAACTCGGGATGTTGATCGGGACTCTTCTACCTATTAGTGCCCTCCTGTGGATCGCAGCCCTTCTACCTATTGGCAACATCCGTTGATCGCTGCCCTCCTATCATTTATTTACTCCTTTGGCATGTTTTTCAACTTAGTCGTTCTATTGCACATAGTTGATGTCTTGCCTGTGAAAACTGCCACAAATGAACGTGCATTCAGCACAATGAATGAAGTATCTATGCCTACCAAAACTATCTACGCTCTACGATGCATAAAACACGTCTTTGGTCTTAACGGATTGATCCTACTTTACGTGCATCATGGCATCTATATGGATTACGATTAAGTATTGTCAACAGGTTCGGGCGCAACAGCAGGCATCTGAAGTTTCGGTGATTGAAACTGGTTATGTGGGTACACTGTATGCATCTGTGAGAAGGCTATGAAGGCTGGTCTGAGGTAATTTGGATGATGTTTACGCATCTCGCGCTCCGGTATCAATCCGATACGGTGATCTGGTGCGTAGATATGCCACCGCCAATAAACTTTTATACATCGACACCCATGAGCCAAGCTTTCTGTACAGTTTGTGTGGTAGCGGCCCGACCAAACCTTAGGTATTTTTTACACCTTCAAATTTGGTAAAAGAGCGAGAGGAGCTTTGAACAGTGATCGTATAAAAGGCGTGCCTAAAAAGCGGAGGAAAAGGTTGTTTTCAAAAATTTCGCGCGCCTTCGGCGCAGCATTTCAAGAACACTTGACCTTTTGTGACCTGGAGTATAAAGAATACACACGATGCAAAATCAATGCAGCACGACCTATACGAGGTTACGCAAAAAAAAAACTGGTGGCATGGTAAAAAACGCCTCCCAACCCCCCAACTCCCACTGAGCGATTTTTTATCTCGCGACCGTATGGCGCCCTCCTTGGGTGAGGTGGCGCCCTCCAAACCCTTGGCCCCCCCCTTCGCGATTTTCTAAATACGCCGCTGCTTGTATAATAGGTCCGTCTGCTCCTTATGATGGGTTCCTATAGCAGGTCTGGTCTTGCAACCAGCTGTGATCATTGAGCGTTACGCCCGTAATAGGTTGTCCAGTGCTTGTTCTTATGTGCATGAAATACAGGTTAACTTTGCTGTTCTCTTGACTTGTCATTCGTTTTAAACAGTACAAAATGCGCGCAGGGTTATCATTTTGTTAATTTTATGTCGCCCATGGCATGACAATAGGTATCCACGCACTTGTACAGAACAATCGATATCTTGTTGATTGTTCCTATAACACGACCACGTTTCTGTGTTCGGTGTCATTGCTCGGTGTTAGTATTACGGATAGTATATGGTCTTGTTGGATGTTCTTCCTTGTCTTGCATGCTATTTCGCACACGAAATAACACGCAAGATGGGAATGAAAATCTGATAAGTCGCGTTATCCGTAATATTAACAGCGGAAAATCCACTCATCTCCTGCCGGTCAACCTTACCTATGACTGATGAGTAGGTTGACTGGTAAGAGGTGAGTAGATTGACCGGTCGCTGGCGCAGTCAAATAGGTGGTGTCCATAAAACCGCCCATCCATTAGTAAATTAACTCACAGAATGAGAGTAACGGAAGTGAGTAACCAGCGATACATGAGTTTTCACAATGAGTAAGGTGAGTAGATTGACCGGTCGCTGGCGCAGTCAAATAGGTGGTGTCCATAAAACCGCCCATCCATGAGTAAATTAACTCACAGTATGAGAGTAACGGAAACGAGTAACCAACGATACATGAGTTTTCACAATGAGTTAACTCATCGAGCGTGGGTAAATATGCATGGGTAAACGCACGTTTCATCGGAAAGTTGACCGGCAAGTGGTGAGTTGATTAACCGGTCGCTGGGGCCGTCAAATAGGTGGTGTCCATATAACCGCTCTTCCGTGAGTTTACTCACGAGAGAAGAGTAGATTTGTTTTCAGTGTGATGCGAGAAGGTATAGGTCAAAACGAGTATGCACACGAGCGGGTGTGAATAAAACTCTGTTTGAGGTATGCCTTTTTTATTATACATTCGATTTGCTTTAGTTATTGGTAAGAACCGATACAACCGAGAAGAGCGCCGCTGAAGAAAAGGTGGCGCACTTGACGGGTGCGGTTTTAAGGTCTAAGGTCAGTCGGGGACCTCTAAGTTCGGATCAAGCGCTGCATGTTAGGGGCAAAAAAATGGGGACAAAAAAGCATCCCGATTTTGGCAGCATCGTCATGCTCTGTCACGGCACTCATCCACTCCCTCGGCCGAAATATTATTTCCTTTTTGTATGAGTTCTGGCATAATCCCGCCCATTATGCTGCGTGTTGTTTGCCATGAAAAAAAAAACAATGCATGTTCAGCTACGGCCTACGCAGTACGCACTAACCTAACCACCATCCCATCATCCATGGATGATGGGATGGTGGTTAGGTTAGTGCACCACTAGCCACCATCCCGTTCTGTGCACTGCTCCCTTCCACCCCACACGAATCAGCCGAGATACTAGTCAGTCGGGCTAGCGCTATCCTATCCTCCCTTCCTGACTGCACAGCGCTAAAACCCAGAGCCGAGACTTCCCGAGCGCGACCTCTGACCCCACGCGGTCCGAAGGGTCGGCCGATGCCTAAGGGCGCGCCGCGCGCCGGCCACCCGGATAGCCTCTGCCGAGTCTCCCTTTCATACACCGTTTACTACGCGCTCGATTCATTCATGATTCTGTGTTTCCGTGTTCCTGTCGTTAGATGGCTCTACTGATGTCATAGGCGATCCCAGGAAGATTGCGGCCAGAATACCCCAAACGGCAGAAAATGAGGTTTTTGGTGAATATCTCGGAAAGTATTTGGCATACAACGATGCAATTTCACAGTCTCGTGGCAAATGTGCATACACATAATTCGGATTGAGACTTATGCATTTGAACATTATATAGGACCAGATATGTCCGAAAAAGCAAAACCAACAAGACTTTTACTGGAGAGCCGTACGTACTCTAAAAACAACTGAGCATTTCTTCGTGTAACGAGTATCGACACCAAACGTACGGTCTCTGAAATCAAAGCACAGGTGTACGAACTAGGAAAGCACTGACAACAAAAACTCCGTAAAAAAAAACTGACTGAGGCCTTCTCAACTCACATCATCTTCAGTGCCTATAGGTACTGAAGATGTTTCACGGCACGACACTACAGTGCGTTACGTGTATCGCGGTGCTGAGTTCCTATTGGAAACATCCACATACTCGAACGCTCTCAATGTTGGAGCGTCCAAGTTTGTAGATGTTTCTATGGAAACTCAATACCGCGATACTATTAGCGCACAGTAGTGCCGTGCCGTGAAACAGGGCCCTGCTCGGTCACCCGACCACTGCACTGGTGCCTCTGAATCGGCAACAGTGGATTATACGAAGGATGGCCTTCTCGGCCGCACTGAGAGGAATCGCGAACTTCATAACCCGTGCATATATGACCTCAAAAAGGATCATGCTGGGCCCACTAAAAGGCAAATATAGCACAGCGTGCGCCGCAGCGAAGGCAGCCAGCATCTTCATCTCACTGTTTGGGAGGCGATATTTCACATAGCTGACCAGGCACTGGGTTTCTGGGTGAACGGACACAGAGTTGCGCCCATCCTGCAGCTCCGAAATCGTCGTGCCGCCACCGATCACCAAGGTGGCCGCCAGGTCGTCATCTATACCAAGATTGAAAGATCAAAAGAACTATTAACCACTGTAATCTTTAAGTTAAGAAAGACTTTGTATGTCAGGCCGTCCATCCGTCCGTCCATCCGCCCATCCATGTAAATTGAAGGATGTAAAGAAATATTAAGCACTGTAATCTTTAAGAAAATAGCAATTTTGAATGTCGATCCTTAAAAATTGACAGATGAATCTATTAACCCGCGCACCGAAGAGGTTCTGAGCCAACTTAGAACCGACGAGAGGGTGGATGACCGCCCCCCCCCCCCCAAAGATCTCAAGAACTAAGTAACGTCGCGAGAAGCGTCAAACGACATTCGAAAGCTCGTAAGAAGGTCTATGAAAAAAGTACTTCGGTCATTTTTCTCTAGGGTTCAAAATGACGTCATCAGAGGTCATCGAAGGTCAAATTATGCGAGTAACCGTAAAAATACCGACAACATTTAACAAACGACTCCGTAGCTCAAGAACAAAAGAGATAAAAAGTCGTATAAAAAAGGAATCTGATGGAAATAAGAATGACTTGAAATTTATTCCATTGACTTATAATGGGCAGGTAAAAAATGACCTATTCGTAGGTCATCGATATGCAATTCTGAGATATACGAGTTGTAGGTGCTCATCACCAAAATTATTTCTGTGAGTTTCAAGATCTGCTTTCAACAACGAGATAGCAAACTTCGAAGATTGTGTTTCGAGGTGAGGTCACTTAACGTGGCCTGGTAACCTGACTTTTTTAAGATATGAGCTAAAAATTTCCAGAGGGTGTGCGAAATGGATGTATCAACAGTCGTGCCAAATCTGGCGGCGCTATGCGCCGCCGTTTTTATGCTATCTGACAAAACCTGAGGGGGGGGGCTCCCCCGTCGGTGCGCGGGTTAAACACTGTAATCTTAACCCGCGCCCTGCTGTGTCCTTTTTCATAAAGCCTGGAATTGTAGAATTGTAGTTGTAGTTTGTAGGTTTGTACTTTCGATTGTACAAATCTGTTTCATAAAGGAAAAAGTACAATCCGAAAGTACAAACTACAATTCCACAAACCTACAACTCACATTCCGCAATTATCAGCCAAAAAACTAGCAATCTGTTTCATAAAAAGAACGGTTCCTCTGATTTTGGGATTTCCTTGACGGAAAATACAATCGAAATCTACAACGCCCTAACCGTGTGTAGAATTTCGGAGATGAAGCATAGGAATCAGCTTAACGTTGCTAATAATTTAATTCAATAATAACCAATGCTCAGATACACGATATATATTATTACTGAGCGAGAGAGCGCAGCGAGCGAAGCGAGGTCTTTTCAATATAACGAAAAAATCTCAGTATTGAGCCGCCCGGTCCGGCCCGGCCAGTAACACTTTTGCCGTGCTAATATCTCAGCAACCGCTGCACACTGGTCGGAAACGCCCTCACGAGAGGCCACGGGCGATTCCGGAGTTTCGGATTATTTTTTATATAGATCGATTTGAAATTGATCAAATTATTATACTTAGCCCAAGAAAACTAATCCGGGTGACCAAAAATAACTGTAATCAGCCCCCAAAGATGGGGTATCCCAGAACTCGGAAACTGACGCGGAGCAAGAGGTTTCTTGAGCCGGATATTCAGAGTCTTATTGCTGATAGACACCAAATTGAAATCCCACATATTATGCATCAAAATGTTCGTTATGAAGTTGCCGACTGGTCAGTGCAAAATTTTTGGTATACTTTTTACCTAACTATGATTTACTGTAGTTTTTTTATGAAGGCTCTCCTACAGTGATTCTGGAATATAACTGCAAAGTTTAGGCAAGGAAACAACAGGTAGTCCCATCTAGTCCCACTCTGATTTTTTGTGAGCTGAAGCAGGATTTAAATTTACACCAGGGCAACATAAAAGCTAACTGCGCATATTTGCGCAAAATTTGCAGGAGCCGCTCTTCCTACCCAAGTACCGCCCGCCTCGCCCCAGTTTCGGCTCGGCCGCCGCGCCCGGCTTACGCTGACCTGTGTGGCCTGCACGCATCCATGCGTAGTTGACTGGTCATTAAAAACAGATGCGCTTGAGTTTATGAATTTTGTGAAAAGCGCGTTTTATGTATGCATTTATGTATGCATTGACATCAAAAGCCTTCCACATATTGCGTGGCGATTACGGCTTGCATTTAGAGAGCCTTGCTATTGACAGCCATCACTCGGCTGAAGAAAGTGGAAATTGAAACCTTCGTGAATATAAGACGCTGCAAATATAGGACACCTGTCACTGACGTCGGGTTACCTTGGGCAGTCTTTTTACATTAGATCACAATTCCGGTATTTAACCCTGGCCGGACCGATTGGTTTTCTATATTGACCGGGGAGGGTTGGTACAACTCCCTCGCCGTTTCGCCTCTAATTGAGCTAGAGCCTCGCGGAAAAAACGAGCTTGTGTGCCGTTATAAGACGCAACAATTAG